TAACTCGGGAAACACGGAAAGATATTCATCCTCCAAGGCTTCGAATTCAGCTTTCATGCGCTGGTGAGTGAAATTTTTAATTGTTTTGCAGTGTTTAAACTATTTTTGCATAGATTAGAGTACAAAGCAGTGAAAAATCATTAATAGGTAATCGTTCGATTTGCTGAATTGCACAAAACCCATGATCGCACCGGCTAGTCTGATGCGCGTTGCTATTTATTTTCTCAAAGACGGAAACCCCGATCAAGATACCTGCTTTCCTCACCAACCACCTGAGGCACCGATGCTGACAGCACAAAAAATTTGGAATTTTAGTGCAGCAAGTCCACCTCCCCTCTTCTTTGGTCACAAAAAGAATTTAAAAGAAAGGTTCCAACCTTTCTCCTTCTTGGTCCTTGCACGCCTGATATTTGGATGTTCGGTGGTTGACTCAGCCCGCCCAGTTATATCCGGAACCTCGACTCCATTTCCATTTTCAATTCCTTTGATCTCATCGTTGCCATTGGCCCGCTGTTCCTCGCTATCCGTGTTATTTCCGAACGATTTAACAGGGAATTCCACAGTTCCTCGTACTGTCCCAAGATCACGACTTGTGTCGTTTGTCGCACCTTCCACTTCCCTCTTTTTTCTTTCTGAAGACCAAAATGGTAAAAGAAACCCATGCTTTTCAATTATCATTCATTCAAAAAGTTAAAACTTTAGCGGATATTATGGTCCTGGCAATTTTAATAAACTCAGTAGGCACTGGTCAGGAAAAAAAACAAAGGGTCAGGTCATAACAACAACTGCACTGCAAAGTCAGAAACTTGCAGCTTGGCACGGGTGTGCTCGGCGTGTGCGAGTATCTAAATGATACCGAATTTCCACGCCAACTGTCCGGACGGTCATAGTAAATTGAATAAAACTGTGAAAAACTACTAACTTTTTCCCAAAATATCTAAAAAGTTGAATTCAGCATCCGCATTCTTCTTGGCTTCCTCCGCACTCAAGTAATCCGGATCAACAGGCACTTCGAAACCCTCCTGCTCGGCATATTGCAGAAACCTTGGTATCAGATCACAGAAAGGAAAATGGTTCGGAGATTCCTTGGGGCAGCCCGGATCCAATGGGTCGATGCACCAGCGATCCAAATAACCTTTTCCAATATCGGCCTAGAAGCACAATTCTCATTTACTTTAAATGTTCAAAAAAAAAACTGCCCTTTTTGGATAACCTCCCGTTAAATCGCCTTAAAGCAGTGACGTAGACAAGTCGGCGCCAAATCGCACAGCATTTCATAAGGAGATGCAAAACTCAGGAACAGAGTCGAAGTAAAAGGTATTTAAATTAAGCCACAGCAGCACCGTGATTAACAACAGTGAGTT